CTTGTGATTACTGAGAAACAGGGATTAGTGGTTTTACTGCACAAAAGATCCATTAATTGAGAAGAGATTAGATTTTATTGTAATTAATTTCCATAAAACTACTGTTTTTCTGGGATTAAGAATTTCCTCTATAAGAGAATAAACTGCAGATAATGATAATGAGATGCTTGCATGAAGCTGATAAATAGCAGTTTATATTTATGCTTCTTTCATATTTTCTTTAATTCAAGAAAGACTATCTTTTTTAAAAAGCATTCAAAAATCAGGTCATAACATTTTTAAGCTTTTGTGGGGAAAAATGTGTTTGTATTTAATTTTTTCTGAATTGTTGAGAAATGGAACATTACAATTTGTTATGAATGCAGTTGTATGAAATTATTAATTAAGATGTTAATAAATTTCCTTAAGCAGAATTGCAAAAAAAGGAAAAAAGGATTTACATTCCATCCTCGTTCGAAAAAATTCCCCTGTTCCCACTGCCTTTGCAGGACAGTCTCTGTAGCTTTCCAAGTTGCAGAGCATTTCTGTATGTGGTCTGATGAATTTTGAAAATTTAGTGTTCGTACATGTGAGACTGAACAGACAACTTGAAATTTCTTGATTTTTTGACTGTGATATAAATCTTTTAGAGTATATAGTCTTTAACATAGAGCATGTGACACGTGGTAAGCAATAGCCTCTAATACTCAGCTATGGAGAGTTACATTTCTTTCACTAGTTTAAATGGGGAAAAGTACTAAGCGCTGGTGTTTCTATGAGGAAGTAGGAAGACTTTCTGTATCACTTACAGGGATTAAGGAATTTTATAAAGCAGCAATGTGCATGGTGACTCAACCTCCCAAAATTGGGAGGTTGGCTTTTTATTGACTCTGACTTAAATTTTGTTCCCGAGGTTCTCAAGTAGCAATCCTCTTACAGTAAGTAACCAGCAGAACAAAAGAAAAGCTTTATGAAAATTATGAAGGAATAAAATGTAGGTAAGAAAAGTGTAATTACCAAAGCTGGAATTAGTCCAGGGTAGGAATTAATAATACTGAAATTAATAAAGAGTTTAATTACCATTAGTCCACAGGGCATGAAATTTTTCTCCTTTCAGTTGTACCACAGGTCCTTTAATTCTGTACTGGTGCTTTCTGAAATGAATGCAAAGAACAATATAAATCCCAGGGGATTTTTTTACAGGTTTTTCAGCATTTTTGTTTCGTTTCTTTTTAATTACAAAGGGCAAATATTGAAGGAGACTATGGACACATGCAAACCCACTTATCAAAATACGTTTAAGTTCGTACTTCCCCATGGCCATTCTTCCAGCAAATGTTCTATAAGCAGCAGTCTGTAGTGGAGTTACTTCATACTAATTTTTCTCACAAAGTCTTAGCAATGTGCTATAATTCAGGTTCAAGTACCTTTCTTATTCCAGTATTGATCTTTTCTTAAATACAGATTGCTCATCTGTCCAAACCACGTTCTGGTTTGGTTTTGGTGGGTTTTTTTTCCTGAAGAGGACAGTTCCGATAGATAAGCAGTTAATCCCCTCATCCTAATTTATCATGACAATCTGGTCTTACAATAGCTTTTGAGGAAGGCAAAGTAATTAAATCACTTTTGTTTATCTTCTGCATTTTTTTTGTTCTAATTTTTAAAACAATTTTCTGTGGAATAGGAAATTATAGATACTTTTATGAACGGTAATAATGGAAACACTTTTGTTTACATAAACAGAAGAAAATACTATTTTAAAAATGTTTTTGCTGTTATAATTGTTATTTTTAGTGCAGTTCTATCACTTCACTATCTGTACACTTTCTAGCTTTCTATTATACTGTTATTGTTCTGGGTTTCTATTAAAATGAAACGCAGGGTTTGTTTTATGTGTGTATGCCTACAGTAGAGGAGAACAATGCAAAGTTAAGTGCTTTGTAATGCCTATGGGAAGAATGTTTTTCGGAGTAGTTTTTGAAGTACATGTCACTGTTCAATTGTTCATTATCTTCAAATGGCTTGAAAAGCTACAAATAATTTGATATTCCAAGGCCGTGTATTTTTATTGTGTGGAGGTTTAAAATATGCAGTTGCAAATGCTGCTTCCTATGCTTGAATACAAAGAGGCTGTGTGGCTTGATAGCTAATTTCATTTTTCTTGTGAAATACGTATTCTGTGACTAATGCTTTTACAGTTTTGGTCTGTTTCGATCTCGTATTCAATACTCTATTGGGGAAGATTTCTGGAACTAAAGATGCAGTGCAGATTGGTGTCAGTGGTTGTGCTTCTGTAGCCTGTGCTCAGATTCTGGGAATACTGGCAAGGCAGAAAGGTCAGGAGGCAGCGAGGTGTTTGTGCTGTCCTCCTTGTGGCTGGGTCCTGCAGCTGGCTCATTTCCAGCAGGGACTTTTTGCCCTGCTACGTACAGGGAATGCTCCTTCAGGAGTGGGAGGGACAGGACAGGCTGCCTCAGCTGGGCACCCCAGTCAGGGGAACAGGGCTGGAAGCTGCCTGCCACTGTGTGTGTCACATCCTTTCCCCTTGGCCCCTTCTGCAGCCCTGCTGATGTTGGCAGCTTTCTCTCGTCATTGCTCTGCCTCTTTTCCTTGCTGCTTCCCGGGTGTGAAGGTTTGCTGAAGTCAGCTGTTGCTGCAACTGCGGATGATCCTAGAGCCAGGTAGAACGTGGTGCTACTTTAAGTAGCAATGGCCAAAGCCAGTTTCAATATCCAAACACAGACTTTCCGAGACGAGATGAGCTGATTGCATGTCATGTGCTATGCTGGTGGGAACAGATATAATGAAAAAGATTTGGAGAGGGCAGGTAACACAGCAATTAGGAAAAAAAACTGATCTGAGAGAGAAACGAGGGCCATTCTCCTACTGGACTTGCTTTAGGGCAGAGCTTTGGGACTTTTCCTGCCTTAAATAAAAAGTGACAAATGCAACATTTTTTGAAGTTGAGAAAGCTATAGAAGTAATTTCCTCCCAAATGGGTTTGAAATTGACCAACAGATTTGAGGCTGCAAAGGCAATAGCTTATTTCCAGTGGAAAAATAGGTGCTATGTTAAAATAAACATTTCTTTATCACAGGAATTTTTGAGTGCCAGGTTTAGCCACAGTGTTGAGTATGAACTCTGGGGATCTAGTGTTCCTGGTGTAAGGGTTTTAAATGAAGAACATTTAAAATCAAAGTTCACATAGTACATTCGAGTGGCATGTGGCATCCTTAAATTTTAGCTGTGTGGTTGTTTGTGTTCTGCAGTGGACTATACTGTTGTATTGAAACAAAACTTTTAGATTTTGTGATTTATTAGCTTCTTTTTTCATACCTATAAGTGTTCTATTTCTACATTTTCAGAAGTTTATGTACACTGTGTTATGCAGTTCGTTGCACAAGCTGACTGTAATTAAGATACAACTTTTATGTTACACCCACAAAGTTGGCATCTGGTCAAGCCAAATTACAGAATTACTATACCCTTTTATCTCTTTTAAGCTTTACCCTTAAGCCAGAATCAGCCAACAGAAAGCCTGTCATTGGCACTGCCAAATGAATAACCAGCTGCACTGGTTTCACCGTTGTTCATTTCAACATCTCAGTCTTGAGAACATGAAAAATCAGTGTTTATTCTGACAGTATTCGTGTGCTCATCTCATTGGGATTGCTTGAGGCAGATTAGTTGCTAATAAAATTTAAACAAGGAAATAAAACGTTTAAGTATGTTATTTATCTCCAAAATATCAATGTATTATATGATGAAAAAGTCACAGGGATTCATGAATGGAGCATTATCTGACCAATTAAATTTTTTTATCTTACATTTGAGATAAACAATGGCTTAAGCAATATGGATTATCTCCACTGATATTTTGCATGAATATACAGTTGCTTTTTCACTAGCATCCTGTGAAAGAGGATCCTGATGAGTTTTATTTTGCTTTACTTGGACTAATTTTGCACATTTTTTTCATAAATGTAACTCAAAACCTTGTAAGTGGTTTAGAAAATGGGAGTTGAAGCTTTAGACCTTCTTGGCTTTGTGGTAATATGTTTCAGAACAGCCTGATTTATCTATAGTCATGTTAAAATAACTTCTAAAAATGCCAATATCTATTCCAGATTTAGAGACTGCTTGACATGTATAAAATCTGCTTATTGAGTGTTCTCTCAGTTCAAAAGTAGCTAAAGTATTTTTATTCCACTGAAAAATAGTAGGATACAATTGTGCAAACTGTTACTCATATGAGTTAGAGGTGCTCATACAAACTGTGTATGCAAGGAGGCTCCGCAGAACTTGGCATATAGATTAGAAGTTAGGGAGCAGACTATGGTGAAATTTCCCATATAATACAAGAGAAGCAGGAGTTACAGGAAAACGGTCTGGTTTTGGGTTACTTTTGTTCTAGTTTTATAACCAATTAAGTTTACATATCCTTTTCTTTATTCATCGGGTTGAAAAGACAGTGAATATACTCCAGGAGTAACTGTGCAAAGCTAAGGAACTCTGTTGATTTCGGAGAAATTGGGTATAATACAACGGGGCATTTGTCAGGGCAAATGACTCTTGACTGACTTGATGACCAAATGACTCCGGCTGATTCACTTCAGTGACTCGCAGTCCAAACTGAGCAAGGGACTAAACCATGGAGTACAAATCTTGTCCTTCTATACTTTGTCTAAGAACGTGTTCATATGTGTAGGATTTACACAGCTAATTCTCATCATTAAAGCAGTAGCTGTGGATGGTCTTGGAATGTTTTCTTCTGTCCCAGTGTAGGGGAACAGATGATGTATTGAGATTGCTTTTTGTGATTACGGTGGTAAATCTCACTTTTTCATGTTTTATAGAAAGGTAGAATAAGAAATACAGGATACAGACTACAGATACCCCCTAGGAAAAACTGTATTTAAGGGACGACAATCTTGATAATAATTCTAAAGAAATAGTCTCCAAAATGTTGATAGTTTCAGAAAACTGTTTTTTCCCCTTTTCCTTCAGTATGCTGTTTGGAGATGACAACCAAAAGGAAAATTATCGGCCGCTTGGTGCCCTGCCGGTGTTTTCGTGGTGAAGAAGAAATCGTCTCAGTGTTAGATTACTCTCACTGTGGCCTACAGCAGGTGCCAAAGGAGGTTTTTAACTTTGAACGGACATTAGAGGAGCTTTACCTAGATGCCAATCAAATTGAAGAGCTACCTAAGGTAACCAGTGTTCTGCCTGTAATACAGATGTCAAAACTGTGTTCTTAAATGTGTATTCGGCATGTGCTTCAACTCTGAAATAGAGCTTGCTCTTGACTGGGAGACCTGCTTGCTGTGGGAAGAGTCATGGCTATTAACTCTAGAGATTCAATTACATTTTTACAAATTTTTTTTCCGGTCTTCTCTGAAGAGCCCAAACAGATGAGACACCATTCTTGCAGATGGTACTGCGTGGGAAGGAGTAGGGCCACCTACTTCTCCTTGCTTCATAGCACAAGAACAGGGGGCAGCCAATGAAGTCTTAAGTTGTGAAATTAACAGTTGTTCAAAAGAAGTACTTCTTGCACAACAAGTAATTAATATGGCGTTTGATACCTTGACCAGGAGTATGCTAATATATGGGGTAGATGATCTCACATTTGGATCTTCTGTAGCACTGCTTTTAAAAGTGGGCTCTTTGTCAGGATAAGCCATTTATCCTTGTGGGAGAAATGCCAGTACTATCTGACTAATATTTTTATAACTGCAAATGAGGTCCTGCAATAAGATTACTTTAGTTATCCTTCCTATGTAAAACTTCTTTTATAGTTTCTTTAAATCTGTTCTTCTGTTGATTAATGTTTACTGTAAGGAATTAAAACTTACTGTAAATGAAGCGTTCTGTAAACAAAAGAGGGCAAGGTAGTGGGAAAACCAATTAATAGTAGGTGCTAGCTACACATAATGAAGCATGAAGTAATGTAATCCATTTCTTAATTGAATTTTTCTCATCAATAATGAAAGATGCGTACAAGTCTTTAATTAAACATTGTTCCACTATAATCCATTCCTCATCATCTCTCAACATATTTCTTTCTTACACTGCATAGAGACTTTATTATATAAATTCTATTTACAAATGTAGAAAACGTACTTTTTCCATTACATGGAGTTCCTTTATTCAGATATGATGGTTCATTGCTTAAGATTGCTCACTCCATCAAGAAATTCTTTACGGATGGTAAGACAGGGTAGCTACAATCCTTTAAGTGTCACAGAAGAATGATATGGAGAACTCCCTTATCTCTCCTGCTACTAGAAAGGACAGCAGAGAACCAGATATTTCTTCTGCCCCCATAAATGTGAAATGGATTGTGATGGAGGCCATTTTATTGCTAATGAATGCCTTCAGGACTATTTATCTTTTAATAATAATATATGGTTAACATTGTATATTTTAATTACACTACTGAAGAATCATACTGAAGGATATATAAAGTGCCTAATTTAGCTGGGGATTTTTGGAATATTTGTTTTGGGTCTCTTGAAAGTATGCATCACCATGGTATTCAAACTAAATTGCAGTGTATAATGGAAGACAAATACAACAGGGCATAGAACAAGAGCAATATGACATAATTCTGTATGGAAAAACTGAGGGCCAAAGTTATGCAATTGGGATGGAGGTGATAGTTGTTAGTGTCAGTCACAACTGAAATGTGCAGGCTAATGAAACCTTTGCATTGTGTTATGATATCATCTATTTTGTATTTATTAACTGTGAAACAAACCAGCAGATAAATACAGGCCTTGGAGGGATTTAAAGGTACACGACTCTATTTTTGCACCTCTTTTTTTCCTCATTTTTCTGTTATAAGCAATATTCTGAAGCAAATACTATACTGAAGAAATCCTTTTAATTGGTCTTAAGTTTGGTTAAATGTATCGTTTAACATAGTCTTGGCCTTGTATAGGAAAAAGATTAATGGGAATGTTAATTTGCTTTCTTTATACCATTCATAATTTTTCATCTTAAGCCTTTATAAATCATTACCATAAGTTAAACAGTCCAAATAATTTCTTTATCAAATTTTCTGCTTCAACTATTTTTTGCTGCATGTGTCTGAACTTTTTTTCATTATTGAATTAATGTTCTAGGAGAGAAAATTCCAAATTTTTTCTTAAAATGGCACGATATTACTTAACATTAACTTTTGTATTACACATTATGATTTAGCACAGGCAGAACTTTCCTCTCTGTAGATGTGAATTCAAATAACTTCTTCCAGAGAAAATTTGTTTTTTCAATTTTCTGTTACTTACCAAATGTTACCTGCCTCTGAAGTTACAAAATTCTTTTGAAATTTTCTCTCATCAGAATGCTTTATGATGTTTAGAAATTTAATGAAAAAAGCATAGGTAAAGACTCAAAGTCCTTATCTGCCTTAGATACATGATATGCTAGAAACCAATAAATTATTTTGCATTAAACTGATGTATTAAACTCATTCTGCTTTTTTTTTTAAACTTGTACCTTACATTTTATGCATCATAGTTATGCTTTTTTTTTTTGCTGTATTCATTAGAAATGAATTTTGCAGTTCTAATTTTTTTCTTCTCTTTTAAGGATTTATAGGCTTGTTGTATAATTCTTATTCTCCATTTTCCCCTAATCTAGCCAAGTCTTTTGTTTTATTTGCCTTTGACTTCATTATCATGAGCTGCTGCTGCAAGTATGTCCCTATTTGAGTCAAATGAATCAATGTCTAATAAAAAAGAATATTGATTTTAATGAAGGTGGCATCACTGGCAATCAGTATCCAGAAAAACATGAATGAGATGAAAATTCTCCCCAGCAGCTTTCCCTTATAAGTATAAAGTAAAATCTGGACTAATCTGTAATGGACAAAATTAGTTTATTCACTAATGACTTAAAAAAAATATATCTGTCTCTAACAATGAATTCTAGAAATAGCCACCACTGTGCTTTGCCATCTCACGTGTTGGTAAAATAGATACCAGTAATTGTTCAACATGCTTACTGAAGTTAGAGGCTACATCCTAAAGCTTAATTGTCTCACTGAGAACAAACAATGCAACCAATATATAAACGGTGTTGCGGTAATCACTAATATATAGTCACATAGATGGGTAGGTATTGTAAATTAACTATGTTTTTCCTTTGCATTGCATTTGCTATGTAGGTCACAGTTTCCATTAAAGGCATTGAATACTTTTTCTAAATCTGCCAATAAGAAATCGTGTTTCTGTTCTGCAAAGATCAGAAAGTGTTACTCTTTGTAATCCTGACATCAAATTCTCCCAGTATCTTAGCCAATCTATTTCACAGTTACACCTATGGAAAGTAAAGAGCAGAAAGTTCATATTCTCTAATGGCCCTGGAAACCAAAAACCTCTGTTGCTGTGTAGTCAAGAACTTAAGATAGGCAGAATAACAGCCCATTGTTATAACTCAACTCACAGCACTATTAGCATGACTTGGTTTCCAGTCTGAAAGGAATAAAAGTGGTATATGGACATACAGTATGATGGTAACATCAAGATCATGATGGCAAGGCCATAAAGCACTAGAAATTGAGAAAGACACCTTTGAAAATCTAGTGGTTAAAAAAAAAGTGGGCAATTTTGAAAGTACTTACCTGTATTCACACTCTTGTATTATTTCCAATACAACAGGACATCATAAAATTACTCCAGAGGGAATATTTTTTATTACACTTCTTCATTCACCAGTTCAACAGCCTTGTATCTGTTCAGATATTGTCAAAACTTCCAGGTATAATAGCATGGTATAATTTGAATGTGTACCAAAATTCTGCAGGTTCCCTATGCTGAACATTTCTAATATCTACAGCCGTTCTCACAGAGTAATGTGGCTAGAAATTTTTTAAGAGCAAACCCTAGAGCCTATTAATTTCATTAATTTCCAAAATTATGTGCTTCCTTTAGGAAAAAGTAGGTGCTCTCAGATGCATTGCAAAGGAATTCCTCATTCTCTGAGAGATATTTCCCTTTATTAACATTGTCTGCAAGCAGAAATGTGTAACCCAGTTTGGCTTTCAGGGTGTACAGTAAACGTTCTGGCTGTTCCTATAAATTAGATTGGGAACCACAGGCCCCAGCATGGGAATGGTTCTCTTTGTTACTCCTGCGGGGCTGCTGGGCTGTAGCCGTGCATTGCGCTCCTCTGCCTGCTGTTGGCTTTAGCTGGTGAGCAGCGGGGAGGAGGCTGTTGTACCATCCTGAGAATTAACAAGTATGTTTCATGTAAGAGGAAAGCTGAAAAAAAAAGGTCCATACAAAAGCATTTTGAAAAGTGTCTTTCAGTAAAAAGGCCCTTTCATATTTGGTGCCAGCTGATAGTGATTGTGGTGTGGTGCTTCTCATTCTGAGCATTTTTTTATTCATGTGATTCCCTCTCAGTTGTCTGAGAGTAGATTATCTTGAGGAAAAAGCAGGATTTTTCTAAAGGATTGTGAATTACAGTTTCAAAATGATCTAAAATTTACTTCAGGTGAAGTACCAGGTTGGCATTTGCACACCATTTGTGTGTTAATTTTCTCCTCTCCAGATACTTGGCTGAGTTTTTCATCCAGGCAATCAAATTATTATGCGTTCTCAAATAGCCTGTAGATGAGTATATAGACTTTATTCTGATGCAGAAGTCTGAAAGAAAGACTAAATCTGTTGGAAACATAGTACTAATATTTGAAGAATGCTTTTGAGGTGCCTGGAAAAAGAAGCTGTCCTTCTCTGGAACCCACTAAATTTTCTGGTGCCATTTGGTGAATTCGTATTCACAGAAAGTCGTACGGGGTTTGGTAACTTTTAACTCTTGAGAAGAGTGATGTTTTTAGAGCCTGCAGCCACAAAGTGGGAAATGTGAAGCAGGTCTTCCTCGCAGTCTGGTGTGATGGGTAGCACGGGTGGGGTTGGTACCAGGGGTTGGAGGCCAGCGGCAATGACACTGTGCTGGGTGTGCAAACGGGAGTTCGTACCACCAAGGTGGGTGGCCATGCGTGACCCTTCCCTATTACTCGTAACAGTCAATTTTCCACAGTTCTGTCGCTGGGGGATGTGGAGCATGGCGATAAATAAGCCAAGCAATTACATTGCATTCTCCACGTCTACCTGCTAGCACGCTGGGCTGGAAGGAGCTGTAAGCTACTCTATCTAAAAAACGCACCCGCTTGTTCTTTGTATAAGGCACCTCTAACCTTGCAATACAATGTACCTAAATGTGAAATTGCTTTTCGTGACTGCTTTCTCTTAGTATGGTTGTTCTGGTAATTTTTACATGTGTAAGGTGTTGCATGAGATAGCGGTATTTCTTGAGGAAAGCAACCATGTTAAATAGGTGCCTTCAACATGATTTATTGATTACTTCAGGTTGAAAGAAGGAATGTTTTTGCAGTGGAAATTCTGACATTTTATAAAATTTGAATTTCAATCAAGAATAAAGTCCTGAATTTTGGGGGAGATTTAAGGAACATACCATTTAAATAATGTCAAAGCATTTTGTTTCTTGAAGATAGCAAATTCCTACTATCAAAATTCACGCAATCAAAATATTTTAAAATCTATCATGAAATTAAATTATAAAATCAAATATTTTAATTTACCACAAGCCACAAAAATTTCAGTTGATAGGACACGTATGAAATACCATGTACCTACAAAATGTTGATTACAATGAATATGCAGTTTTTGACAGAAAGCTCTTTTTGAAAATTCCTGCTACCAATCATTCTGATCATTCTTGTCAACTGTGTATAAGCTGTGTTTATGATAATGAGCAGCCTATAAGGATGTCTTCTGAAATAATGGCTTTTCAAAGTATTTTTTGATTATTGAATGCATATGTAGCAAATGCAATTTTGTGGGATTTGTTGCTTTGGTGTATAAATAATGATCCCAAACTGATCTTTTTCCTGAAACACTGTAAAGTGTCTTTTTATGTTACAGCAACTGTTCAACTGTCAAGCTTTACGCAAACTGAGTATACCAGACAATGACCTTTCAAGTCTGCCAACCACTATTGCTAGCTTAGTTAATCTCAAAGAACTTGATATCAGTAAAAATGGTAAGAGATTAAAAGTATAAGTATTTTAAAAATTGTAATGAATATGAATAATAATGAAGTTTTAATTCCTAATGATTAATAACCTTGTGTTCTAGAAAACTTGCTTTTTTTCTTGATTATGTATTATTTTCCTGTCTGGCACTTTTGGGAAGTCTGGGTAGATACCTACCTAATTTACTTTACTGTTAAAAAAAATAGAGAGGGATTGCTTTAGCGTAGTATACTGTGATGTCTTGTGACTGATAAATATTAGAAATAGGAGTGGGAGACCATTTTTCAGTGCACTTATGAACCATTCCACTTTCCAAAGTGTCTTAGGACTTACTGGGCTCTTGCGTAATGTGTTGAAGCATATAAGGCTGCAGGTAAACAACTACCAGGATTTATATAGCCAGTGACTAGTTTGCTGATGTGCGTTTCTAAATTACGCATTTACATATTCATGTGCCTAAAAACCTTTGCATGTCTGAACTTAAGTGTCTTTTTTTTGAAGACGAGGCTTAGGCTGTCTTGAAAATTTTGAAAAATTTATTATCAGTTTAGGACTAGAGACTCTCAGGATTATATGTATGTTCTTCTGAGAAGAGGAGGAGGCAAAGAAGAAAAAGATAAGCAGTTCGGAAAGAAATGAAAGACACAAATATCAGTACAAATGATGTCACTAGTTAACTCTAGAAGATTATATGAATCAAGCATTAGCATAATAGTTTTAGTACAAGACACATTATCTGTTTTGGTGTATGTATTTAGTGCTTAAGTATCATCCTTTAAGACTATAATCCTAAAATGTATGCATTCTTCCTGTTATAGCTTAAATCTGATCTGAAAATGGCAAATGAACTCATTTATGAACAGAACAAGTTGAAGTGTTTTTTACATGTGTATAACAATTCTTTCAATATTTTTTAGGAATTCAAGATTTTCCAGAAAATATTAAATGTTGTAAGTGTTTAACAATTATTGAAGCCAGTGTCAATCCGGTCTCTAAGTGAGTATCAGTAGCTTGTGTTTGTTTACTGCAAGTGCAGAAAATTTACGCAAAGTGAACTTAAATTTAAAGGCATTGTATAAAGTTAATCTGCAGATTAATCTAAATTTCTTTTTAATTGTTTGAAATCCAGTGTTGATGTATCTATGAAAAGATCTGTGTACGACGTAAAAAATGTGATGTCTTTCCACATAGTAAAGGAAGCATTGGCAAAGCAGTCCATATGATGCAGCCTTTTAAACACAGGGGGCTGGTGCTTTATGTATTTGGGAAGCAAGCCATGCTGCATCGTCACATACTGTAATGTCTTGGGACTTCAGCAACCCTTATTCCTTCCAAAACCTTGCAATAATAGTCACAAAAAAGTCTGTGTTATAACCCTATGGTTTATAAAATGGAGTGAAGGAGATGAAAGAATGAATTTTTACTATTTCGGTTTTAAAAAAGAAGAGAGAGAAAGAGAAAGAAAGAAAGAAAACACCTTTGGCTTAAAACCCTCAGCTAGGAAGGGGAGAAGAGGCTGATGTAACTTGAATGTGCCAGGTATTTGAATTTCATGTGGTTATAGCAATGTGGAAAAGATGAGAATGGGCAAAAATGTTGTTTGTAACAAGTAAGTTCTTGGGAATTTGGGTAGAAGAAGGTGAGAGAGAAAGTCATCTTTCTCTTTCTAAATATACATTGTTATTATTTCCATAGCAACTTCGGTGTGAGCATTAAGCTTTTAACTGTTTTTTTTAGGCTGCCAGATGGCTTCACACAACTTCTAAATTTGACCCAGCTCTATCTAAATGATGCCTTTTTGGAATTTCTTCCAGCTAACTTTGGAAGGTAAGAATTAGTCATCAAAGCACACTGCTCTTTCATATGAACCCAGCTTAGGCTTTAAGGGACCATTTTAAAGCTGTATTCTTTTAAAAAACAAAGCAAAACAAACAAAAAAAAAACACCAAAGAGATGTTGGTTTTTCAGCCCTATTTTGATGAATGATTGTTGTTAGAGAGAATGTTATGTCAGCAAGAATTTTATGATGAAGTGATGCAGTTCGGTGGTTTAGGGAAAAGGTAAGAAGAAACAGAAATTGAAGAAGAGGCTTGTCCTTGATCAAATGTGTTATTAACTTGTGGTAAGGGCAGAAAATAACAATATGGTCTATGCTTATTAAAAAAATGCACAGAAAGAAAAAGTGCTGTGAGTCAGAAAGGAAGAAAGAAACGACTGAGCGTGGCGGAGTAACCAGAGGAAAAATGTCAAAGCAAGAGCAGGAGAGAAGATTCAAAAGACAGCAGAGCAGAAATGTAGATGTAGAATGAGAGTAAAAATAAATGCAGCAGAAACTGAGCCAAAAAGTGTTAAATAAGGACAAAGTAGAGGCGGGGGGGAATCAAAGTTAGCACAATTTGCTGTTGTCATTTAAGAGGGCAGTAGAAGCCGGTGTATCCTTACGCTGCACAGGTCTGGCAGAAATGTCAAGTTTATTACACCTATGTTACACCGGTGAGGGCATGGTCAGCCTTTCTGCCCTTGGATTGTCTAGTTGGGTAGACAGCTCAGAAGACAAAGGATTAACAGAGAAAATATATGGTGGTGTTACAGAATTCACCTAGTAGTATTTTTTTCCTGGTCCATCCATCTACCCGTGTGTGTTTTATTGTTTACTGTGAACATCAACTCAGCGCTCCAGAATTAATACTGAGGTGATATAATTTGTGTTGGAAATGACATCGGTATGCTCAGGCATTGAGAAATAGAAAGTACTGCTTTATCAGCATTCACTTGATGGGCCTGTCACTGATGCAGAGCTGAGTCTGGGCTTTATGCTAGAATACCTTTTAGAAAGTGCCTCGTTGAAGAAAGAGGAAGAAAAATTGTCATTGTTTGCATTTGATGAGTGTTTGAAATACCAGAGTAAATCCTAAGACAGCCTGCTTCTGCAGTCTGGAATCAGACATTATGTTCAAATTTCAAGGAAAAATAAATATATTAAATACCCAGCAATTTATCAGATGCGTGGTGTTTATATTCATTATGCTCTTCTAAAGCCTTGCTGGTACTTTGTCTAATAATCTGTGTCACTTAAGGACATGTCTAGTATTCTAAATCTTTTAGCAGAAAGCACTAACTTTTTTTTTGTTTTACAAATGCATATTTTATCTAAATGAAATTACGCTAGTTCAGGTTGTACTTGTTAGTCCTTTATTATTATTATTCTGCTCCTGTATTATCTATATGGTGTCTTGCATTTACAAATCCTTGTCATGATTCTGAAGCTTCCCACATTATATATTTTTTTACTAGCCATACGTAGCTCTTTAACTGTATCTCCCTTATTGCTCTTCTCCGAATTTTAGTGCTTTCTTTATATCTCCTGGTGCAGTAATATTCAGCTAATCTATTACAGTCTCATTTAGCCATGTGAATGAAGTTAGGAACAGAGTCCACCTGAGCATAATGTAAACATCTCTGCACATTTCTCATTTAAAGTTGTTGGTTTTAAAATCATAGTTTTCTAGAAGAGCATAATATTGGGAAGCCTGAGGTTCCATGAAACAGAAAACTGTTGTGCAGGACAGAGAACTATTTACAGCTTTGTTGTATTTTTTTAAAACTTTTCTCACATGTTTACACTTACGGCACTAAAGGACCTGCACTGTAGAGACAGAGTATTATGAAAAGCAGTATTAATGAAATAGTTGAAACTCACTATAAAGTACTTCAGTATCTTTCTTCACATTCTGAAACTATGATACCGGCCTAAAAGCTTTAATAGTGTGACTCCGGGCTGACATCTTTGTTTAGAAATGATACAGTTACAAATCAGTTATGCAGAACTGCTCAGTTTCACGTAGGCCTTGAGCGTGGTCAACTCATGCATTGAAATGTACATCTAAAAAATAGTTGATTTGGTATTCCAGATTTTCTGTGAGTGGAGTTGTAAAATTTGAGATGAAGAGGAAAGGACCTTGTTCATCCTTTTGGTTTTGTATCCTCTTCCTTTTCCTCCCCACATTGATTATAATTTGGGATTAAAGAACCAGCAAAAGGGTGACATGAATCAAAATCCTTTCATGTTTATGAAATTATTTTCCTAGGCAATATGGGTAATTAGACAACACTGTCCCAAATTCTGGAACTCTAGTACATTTGTTTCTTAATCTCTTATGTGTCCTCCTTCCTTCCCTTACTCTACTTCATTAAATTTATTGCTGTGGCTTAAATAATATTGCCCATTGGAGTTTGCACAATGATATGGAATTATGAAGTACTGTTGTGTGTATAGGTTCTAATTTATGCCTTAAGCACATGTCACTGGAGATCTGGTCTAGTCTGCCTGTTTGGAGTTGTAGAATTCAGTGCTCAAAAAATGCAGAAGAAAGTTGTGAACTAAATGGCAGTTGCTTTTTATCCTTTAATAAGTCTGTAAATGTTTGAGAGAAATTAACTTTTATTACGTTTGCCTTGTTTGAATAATGAATAAAAATAGTGTAGAATTACTGGGAAAAACTGACATATGTCAAAGTTTTTCAGAAGAGTTCAGGTAAAGACAGATACATCCTTATCTGAAGCGATCTCTCCTTACATGAAGCTATTAGGTTCTAAATATATTTTTTACCATATTCAGCCCACAATAACTGGACATCTTACTATTGTGCATTAAGCATAATCTTTTTTTTGTTTAAATAAGTGGTTTCAAATAATCCTTCTGAATTCCTGGACTAATTCATTGAATGAACTAATTATTTTCTATCATATTTCTAGACTTGTCAAATTGCGAATTTTGGAGTTAAGAGAAAATCACTTGAAAACTCTACCAAAGTAAGTGATTGAATATTTACGTAAGACTCTTTCACCTGAAATTTCCAAAAGTGCAAAATAAATACTTTCATTGTTAGCAATGCAGTAGTGTGATTTCTGTTGAAAGTTCTTTTTTCCATGGTTTAAAGGAATTCTTCTGAAGGTTTTTAGCAAAAAGCGAACACGTAATGGAAGATGGAGACTGGTACATTAGCTGACTGTAACTCAATACCCAAAATCTATAATGTGACATTTTAAAATACAAGATATAAACAAGATTGGAAAACAACATATGAGATAACCCTAGTCAGTGATTATGTGATAGTATTTTCCTCGTGAAGAAGTCATCTGATATACTGAAAACATACTCAATGTAACCGCAATAGAACAATCTCTCCGTATGATCTGTACAGAAGTTAAATGTATTTGGTGGTTCATAATACTATGTAGAAACCTGTATCATCAGAATTTTGAAGAAGTGTCAATTTAGCAGTGTTTCTTGGTATTATTACCAAAAAAGAAAGTTGCTATAATTTGTTGCTATAATTTGACCAACATTTAAATGATATTTTGAAATGGAAACAGTAAAGAAATAAAAAATCTGTATGCTGCCCATGCTAAATATAGGAAGTAGCACTGCATAAAGTGAGGAATATGTTTTTGTATTCAGACCAGTATTACATAATTGTTTTCTGTAACAGGGATCCTAACCAATGAAAAAATATCCATGGATTTGGGGATTGTTATTAATGGGGGTTGTATGTCCCCATTATAAGTGAGACTTATAGTGGTGGCAATAGAGTGTGTTGTTGAAACATTGCTAATACTGAATTGCATATTATTTAGCTCATTTAAAAAGGGCACCCTTTTTAGTAAGCAAGCATTTATCAAAATCTCCACAGGCATTTTGCCTATAATGGGATATGGTGACATTTTCACTACTTCCTGTGGGCTTTTATCCACAGTACTTTCCTTTTTTAAAGGAAAGCTATTTTTTATGTTAAAGACAATATTTGTTGCATCAGTTGAAAACACTTTTTTGTATAAACTTTCTATTTCCTCTGTTCTGAGTTACATTTGCTATTTTGAAAAACAAAACCAAAAAAAGCTCCAGTCTGCTACCAAAATGTTTCTCTGCATTTAGAAATGAGACCTGTTCAGGACAGCAGATTTGCAGCCTTTGAGGTCTTTATCGTCTGAAAGGCTATATACATGCTGTAGTTATATACATGTTATCTAACTACCTCTTAAGCATCAGTCTCTTTTAGAAGGGAATTGCATAATCTTTGCATGCAGAAGGTGCTTGTCAGAATAAATGGATGCGTGTGTGCTAGGGTTGAAGAATCAGAATTCTACAACAGAGTAATTTTAATCAAACAGAATATTTTTATGTTTCGGGTCTAATTCTAATCCCACTGAAGATGATAAGAGACTTGTTACTGAATTTAGTGGGAGCAAGGCTGAGATTGTGTGTCATTGTTACTAATAAAAATAGTATTTTTTTTTCTTCTGTGATACATGGTGTTTAACAGGCAAATTTTGTCAAGTTTGGCAAGTGTCTGGAAGATTCATACCTAAGCGTAGTAGCCTCTGGCTTCAGTAGCACTAAGTTTGTTAAAGTGGCTGAGCATGACTTTTCCCACTGTATGATTCCGAAAGGAAGTTTTCTGATTCTTGTAACCAAGGGAAACGTTATTTGTAGATATGTTTGTCCTCTGCTCTTTGCTATGGCAGAAGGCTTTGCTATATATTACTGAAACAAACTGGAAATAAAAGGTTTTGCTCCAAGGACTGGAGCACCTCTCTTATGAGGACAGGCTGAGAGAGCTGGGGTTGTTCAGCCTGGAGAAGAGAAGGCTGCGGGGAGACCTGATTGCGGCCTTTCAGCACTTAAAGGGAGCCTATAGGAAAGATGGGGACAATCTTTTTAGTAGGGCCAACTGTGACAGGACAAGGGGTAATGGTTTTAAACTAAAACAGGGTAGTTTTAGACTAGGTATAAGGAAGAAATTCTTTACAATGAGGGTGGTGAAACACTGGAATGGGTTGCCCAGAGAGGTAGTGGAGACCCCATCCCTGGAAACATTCAAGGCCGGGTTGGACGGGGCTCTGAGCAACCTGATCTGGTTAAAGATGTCCCTGCTCACTGCAGGGGGTTGGGCTAGATGACCTCTAAAGGTCCCTTCCAAGCCAAAACATTCTATGATTCTGTGATTCTTATGCAGATGCTATCCTTAAAACTGCTAGATAAAAGGGACAGCTGTGTTGTGAAATGAAGTAAGAGGAAGAGCAAGAAAGTTGACGAGGTCATTTTTGCATCAGATGGGACAAAAATAGGAGAACTATGCATTTCTGGCCTTCTTTTGTCCTCTATGGCAGTTTTCACTGCAAGTGAAAGAAGGTGCACAGTGTAATGGATGGACAGGAGTTAATGCATATTACAGAGTGTTAATTTAGAGGATATGTGTCCTGCTTCCTAGTTAGGATGAATTTGACCTCTTTTTATAAAAGACAGTACCTATTCATCTAAAGCAGCATCTCCTTGCATGCTGGAATGGGCCTGGAAAGATCAGGGCTGAGTGTGGGAGGTTGGAGGAGGAGAGTGGTGAGGCCATGGGCAACTGCAGACACAGTAGTGTGGCAAGCAGAGCTAAAGCAGTACTGGTATGTCGGTTAGGCTTTACAGGGAAACAGACAAAGGTTAAAAACCAGACTGTTTTATTTTCTCAGCCAATAGGAGAAGGAAAATTGTGACAAGAAAGCTGTGTCTACAATAGAACCATCTGCAGTTAGGAAAACAAATGCAGTAATATAAATCAGAATATATGTTACAATCTAGTTGCAAAAGAGGTGATACAGGTCTTTCAGATACGTATTTAAAGGCTTGCTTTCTTATCCTACAATTTATTAGATATGTCATGAATAAGGTAACCTGGTTATGTTGGTAGTTTGTCCAGTAGTTCTAATGTAAGAGAAGACATGAAAAGGAAGGAAAATAAATAATTTTAATATTGTAATTTGGCTTTTAAATAGGTGTGAAATGTACTGTAAGACTGTTTTAAGTAACTTCTGCTCAGTACTTCTACCATGTTAAGTGCAACTTAAAAGTTGTTATCAAAAAGCAGATCATATTTCTTCATCTGTGCTGTAAAATACATGTATAAATAATTTTTAAAGGAAACATCTAGCATTCTGGCATAAACAGGAATTAAATGTGCTTTTTGTTTACCATAGCTCTAGTTTTGCTATATTGCATATTAGCTCAACAGTCAAGATTGTTGTAAAATGTATCCATAATAACTGAATGCAAAATGTTCTAAAATTATTTAGAAAAATATCTGATTAAGTAACTACTAACTATAGTTGGCTGAAAAGTAGCTCTCTAACCAGAGCATAGATCTCCAAAGCGTCCCTCTTTAATACAACTTGCATTAAAAAATGAGAGCTTCCCTTTGCTGAATTTGTTGACATGATTTTACGGCATCTAAAACATGTCCAAACATATCACTGTATTCCCAGACACTTTCCTGATAGAAAATTAGTGAAGCATCGTTCATAAAGTGCTTTGAAGATTCTCCTGACTTCTTCTGACAAGCATACCAAACATGTAAAATAGCACTGTCTTGCTGTGTCATACTGGGCTGGAGACAGACGTTGCTTTTCAAGTGAAAATGTTGCAGGATGTTCCTATTTTCTGTCAGCACTACTTTCTTTTCAGAAAATACTACTAGGCTTACAAATATTTTTAACATACTGAAAATATTTGTATGGTTAATCTATAGATCTTCACAATACTGTTTTATAAAATCAGTAATTTGTTTGCTCTCTTACAAGGTTTGATTTAAGATTATTACTGATACTGGTTTCCAGGATCTTTTGATCATTTAGACATCTTTGGAAATCTCTGGCCAATATTGCAAATAATTTCTAATATTTTATTAAAACATTAGTTTGTGCAACAAAAATAGAAAATCTTGTTTTTTCTCTTGAATTTCTGTTAAATGTTTCCAGGCATTTGTGAGGTTCTGACCAAGTTTCTTATATTTGAACAGTTTTGCCACCTAGGTCGCAGGGTTGTCTGTTGGCGTGAAGAACCAACTAAGATAATTTTTATTATTCTGTTTGATAAAAGTGTACTTGATCTTTACTAGTTGTAACATCATGTAATATTACTGTGTAACAGCTCAGGATGGTGTTTTATAGACCGCAGCTCCTGATGGCTCCGTAGCGTTCTGTTCTGTAACACTAGCCTACTGAATATGCATTTGAAGCTACAGGCGAGGCTTTGCAATTGCCAGTGGTGTTTTCAGTCATTTTGCACCCAAACTGAAGCAATTAAAATCCATGGACAGATTCCCATTAGCTTCAGTGAGTTTTGAATGAGGCAGTTGGGGCTTCAGTGTTTAATTATTCTGTGTTTGAGTGATTTGTCAGAGTGGAGAGATGTTCCCAGAATTCCCCGTTTTCTAGCCTGCTGAATAAGGCTGTAGTTCAACCTGGATGGGAAGATACAGGAAAAGAGGAGGCTGCCAAGGGAGGAACCACTTAGAGAACCACGACAGGAGACTAACAAGTCCCACAGGTCCCACCAAGGGCCAGTCTTGCCCTCAGTCCTGTTTGTGGCAGTGATCAACACTTATCTGGCAGGATCTAAGTCACTTGGTGATGGTAAACCTCTCTTCTTTAACATCCTTTTCTGTGTTGTTTATAAACTAACCAGCACGTGCCCCAGCCCAGAACCGGACTAATGGCAACTCCTCCTCAACCCACTCCTTTAAAATTGGTATTTTTTCCAATCTTTGGTCATTTATTTATCCATGTGAAGACCCTCTCTGGTCACATAGCCGCTTAGATTAAGAACTTTCAGTGAAGGACCTTTGCACGTATCTCTTGGAAACAAGGGTAGATTTTGTTGTCCAGCTCTTTTGTACTCTTGATTCTTTCAAAAGACTCCAGAAGTATTTTGAGACACCGCTACTCATCACAACAACTATGTTGAATTTCCCTAGTGTGTCATATTT